TCCAGCTTTTTCTATATCTTCTGAGGATGCGTTTGGGTCTTTGAAGTGCAGTTGTCTGTAATAATTCTTTTTCTTTCAGTAAAACTTTAACGAATTTCATTTTTACCAACGTGTAAACGTCTCTGAGTCGGCATTGTCTGTTAATACTCTCGTGGTTCTGCTATCTGTGTGCTATTCTGTGGTATGTAAAGAAATATTACAATAATTTTCAATGGCCTCCGAAACACTTTATAAAATGGGCATTGAGACAATCCATTTTGACAGCGTCGAGTCGCTGATACCTCGTCCATGAGTGAGTCCTCCACTGCTCTTCATAGATCGTACATGACCTTGAGTTAAAGATTCCGTTTAACAACAGGCGTAAGGTTCTCGGAAAGACAAAAACTGCCTAGAATAGAGGAAATATAAACTGCTTATAATATATTTAGCGTGTTTAAACCGAGATAACTTGCAAACGAGTCGTCGCACGGAAAAAGTACATAGAACGTTTTTTATAGAATTTTTCCTCTTCTTTGATTTTGGTCTCTACATATTTTGCACTAAAGTTGATAGAAATTGAGTTATTGACAAATAATGAAAAATAAACCGAATTTTAGCCACTCTTTCCAAGATGGCGGCCAAATCCGGGCTTTGAGGGTGGTGGAAATTTAACACGTGGTTCCTTACACTAAACTAAACAAAATAAAATTTATTCTAGTTTGTCCGGATTTGCTCCCGCCATAAGCTATTTTTTAATACTTGGCGACTGGCCTAGATGGTCTAATTTGCATTATAATTTATTATTCCAGTTAAAAAAAAATTAGATGAGTTCAATGTTCAACTACGGTAGCGAGCATAGTTTTATCACCGGTTTTGCTAGTGGGGCATAATTGGGGCTATTTCGGCTATAACGAAATTTTTTAAAGGTACATAATTATAATTTTAGAAGATGTTCATAAAACATTTAATCACTACTTGATTAAAAAAGTATACCATTAATATTGCACAAATTATATTTCATCCTCTCATAGTATATGTCTATTTAATTTTTTGATTATGTAACGAGCACTTTGTTTACTCACTTGTTTCGTCGAACTGCTTGAACCATAGACTTAGAATAAAATATAGACTGAGCATCTCATTCATAAATAGCTGGAAGATGCGGACAGACAACGTCTTGTTATTGTTGTGTTATTGTTTTTGGCTCTAACGAGTGCGACACGAGCGATAGATAGGCTGTCTCCGTCGTAACGGTCGTTTCCTGACGGCTCTGCCGCCCAACGCAACACTGTCTTTTGTTTCTTCAGTGCACCTGCACTCTCCGTATCATAGGCGGGTATTTTTTTTTATTTTAATGAAGCTATAATTCAATTAAAAATATATCGTATTTAAACTTTTTATATTATTAAGATTTAGGATAAAAAAAAATAGTTTAATATAAAGCAAAGTTTAGGACTTAGAAAAAAATACGTCTTAGAGTCTAAAAACGATAAAAATAATAAAGTACGTGTTATAGAAGAAATTTTAATAATCGAAATTATTTAATTTTTGAAATTGATGATAAATTATTAATTTAATAAAATATTAATTTTAGTCAAACATTTACAACTCTAATATTAATCAAAACAGGATCTATTCTATAGATATAATAGAACAGAAAGAGAAAAAACTTTATAATTGTTTAATTTTTTTTTCCGGTAAAAGTGATGTCTTATTATGTAAATTAGAAAAAACAGGAATCTGTTCCATTAAAGCAAGCTTTTAGGAAGTGAATAAAATGAAAACTACATTTATTTAACTCGTTACTGTCTTTATTATAGAGTAAGTATAATAATGGTAATGGTGACTATACTTTATTCAATGGAAATATGCACCAAATTCAAACAAATATAAAAGGCATGAGTATAAACAGTATTACTACAGTAATATTGAACATTGGTTCAAAAATATTACATTAATATAATACAATATTACTGTAGGTATTACTGTCAACGTGCAAGCTTGTTTGAAGCTTGATGTATTTGTATGCGCTTGGTACATCTTGGCGTTGGAAAATGTATAGAAAATTATTAAGAAAAACTAGTACGTAATGGGGGATATCTTGATATACAGAGTGGTCGGAATTGTATTCAGGAAACTTTGGCAGCATAATCTGCAAATAAAATCAGTAAAAAAAATAGTATAAATTTATGTCCTAAAATGCTTCGTTTCAGAGATACAGAGTGTAGAAATTTCATTTTTATTTCGCTTTTTTCCAAATAATTTATGAAGAATGTATTGATTAATTCGTTTCCAAATATCTTGAGAACTATACTTGTGGCGAGTGTCAACAAGAGACCTTATTAAGTAAAAAACGTTGGAAATGTAAATTTTTCTCAGTAGTTTTATATAGATACAGACAAAAAGTATTACTCTTCAAATAACTTAAAAAATATGTAGGTGGCGCCCCCTATTAGTAAAAGTCAAATTGACATCTAAATCTAATTTTTCATGTCAAAAAACTCCCAAACGCCAATTTTCGTCCAAATATTGACGTCACTTCAGAAATTATTTGGAAAAAAATCGAAATAAAAATGAAACTTCTACACCCTGTATCTCCGAAACGAAGCATTTTAAAAACTTACAAGTTCATTTTTTTAGAAAGCCAATGCAACATTTCTGAGTTTCAAATAAAGATAAAAAACAGTAAAACATATAATAATAATATGTAAATTATTTTCTTGGATACATACATATATGGCAAATAATAACAGATTGTTTTATTAAAGATTTACGTTTTGGTTAATTCTAAAACTATCTTCAGATTATATGTGATATTACTTAAGTGATATTACATTATAAAAGAAAAAATGAAAATTATACCTTATAATCGAAAAAAAACGGCGTCAGCGATGGCTATGAAATGAAGATCGCTGTCATTTTATATGTAAAATTATATGGAGTATGTATCGATGGTTTTTTCCAAGCCAACTGGACGCCGTTTTTTTCGATCATACGGTATTACAAATTAATAATAGATTAACAGTCGAGAAAAAAAAAGAAAAAACTCTAGGTAAGTACTGGATAAATTTTAAAATGGCATATTTATTTTATCTTTGTTTAATATAAAAAAAACGAAATATCTACCTGGTTTACATAACCCTGTATAATTTGTGAAATAATAATGGACAAAAATGCAAGCGGTAAGAAAAATATTTACAAAAAATATGTACTTGTTTACATTTCTGGACCATTGTTCGTCATTTTTGTTATCATAATGGTGACCCTATCATAAAAACGTAGTTATTTCTATACCTGATGTGAAACTATAGGGAAAAAGTAATGTTTGTAAAATATTTTAGTCTTGAAAAAAAATAAGGAATGTTTGGTATTTTAAAATGTTTGGTAGCTTGTAATTTTTTCGACTTTCTCGATTGTTTATAGTTTATAATAAGCCTTAAAAATTGTTGTTTCATAATGGAATATCATTCTGGAATTCCTGTATGTTATTTTAGATTCTAAGGATGGTTTTAGAATAAAAAGAAACACATTTTTCATAAAAAAAAGCATTAAATTAACCAATGCCCAAGAAAATAATGTGTCTACTTCTTATGTACTTAATAATGTATCTACTCGTTATATTAATAACGAGGTTAGTAAGAACCTTTACGTAAATGATAAATATAAAAAATACAGATTTTCCAGGGTTTATAATTTACTAAATTATTATCTAAATAAGCGCCTTTCTACAACGCCACTGACGCCAAAATAGTAAATTTGACTTACCTGTGGAATGTTGTTCCAGGACTTAAATAGTCCAATTTCTTACAAATTTGGCACTGACGAACCATGTTTTATAGTTTTTAAATAAAAAGTAATCAAAATAAACACTAAACCGACACTACACACTAAGAAAATCGAATCCAAAAAATACAAAATCAAAACATCCAATAAAAACAATAAAATAGCCATGGAGAAACTGTGACAACAAGGTTTTACGACACGTGCTTTACTCTACTATGGCTCTACTACGAGAGAATAAAGAATGAACAGGCGACCCGGCGATTGATGGGTGTTGCCAAATTGTAAAGAATTTGTCATTTTTAAATAGTCTCCGACTTATAATTTAGTAGTATAGGGACTACTTAATACATCTTTCTACTATTAAACACTACTTTATTAAAATACAGTTTTAATATCTCAATATATGTGTATAACAACAAAAAAAATATGAATAATATTTTAGACGTGACAACATAGGCTGGAGGCGAAAGACTCAGACGGCCGAGGTCAGCTGCACCCAGGAGTAAACATGTTTACAAAAATTAATATTGGACCGCGCTTAAATGTAAATAGTGTAGTCTATATTTTATTCTAAGTCTATGGCTTGAACCCATTTTTGCTATGGATCAAATCGGTGTAAGAAATTTTGAAGCTTTAAAGTGTTGTTTCGGGAGAGTTGAATATCCGGGAAAGTTGAGTTATTGAATGTTATTGCACCCAACAATAACGCCCTAATTACGCTCTCCTTTACGCGTTAACATTTTTTTAGGCAATTATGTTAACATTTGAAATTGTCACAACAGAACAAGAAGCCTAGTTCGAATTCTTTTTCACTTATTTTTTACTACCCGAAACAGCGTTACATCACACAAACCTCGTACCTAGTGTTTTATATTCTCAATAACTGCACTAGCAAAAAAATAAAATACTGAAGTATTATGACAAAACCCCGATTTCAATATTATTTTAATGCGATCGACTTGACGCATGACGGCGCGGCGGCATGAAATATATATTGTTATTTTCTGATTTCTGTCGTAGAATGCGCTGCGGTCGGAATTTGTTGAAATCAACTGAAATGCACCAAGCCTATAGGAAGATATGCATATTTGTTTAAGTACCTTAATTTTAGCTGTAGAAAATAAATATTAGAATTAAAGTAATATCAATGTTTTAGTCGTTTTATTACTAATTCAATTTTTTGCAAATATAGCCCAATCACTTAAGCTGAAAATTGACGAAACAATAAAAAAATAAACTTGGATGCCTGGAGTAACGTTTAATTGAAAAATTATACACAAACCATTTGAAAATTAAATATATGATGACCTGGATACTATAGTTGTACGATTACTATGTAGGTACATATTACAAAGTATTTTTCAATGCCCTGGATTCTTCACTAATCATTCCAGAAAGTTCTAAATACATTAAATTTAAAATCTTTATCATTTATTATTAAGTTTTAACGTCTTAAACGATTCAAGTTCCAAGGAATTAAAAAAATTCTTCTTCTCGTTATTATATCTAGCTTTAAGCAAGAAATTTTGCAGCGATTCATTGCTGCTAAAAGTATACTTCATTGCTCCAACTTGTCCTTTTTCTAATATTTCTAAGGCTACCAATAACCCTTCACTCGACCTGTCTTCGTAACAATCTAGTGGCTTGTAGTATTGAAATAATCCTTTAGGCCTGCTACGTTTGTTTTTCTTAGTGTGTTGAATTTGCTGTTTGGAATTCGTATTAAGTTTTAACATATCACCTCCAGTATTCTGCGTGTAATTTGGTTTTAGAAACATACTCATTATTCTTGAAAATATATTTTGATTTTGTCCCAATTTATTGGCCATGTTTAAGTTTAACAGTCTGTCGGTATATATCGATTTAGAAGTACCTAAATATAATACAATAAAATAAATTATTATTGTTTTATTTCTTTTTATTAACAGTCTTACATAGGCTCGTCTGTCTGGATAGTGATTTTTGGTACATTGAAATTTTATATTCCGGTATTTTATCTAACAGCTTACAGATGATATGTCCGACATAGGGTAAATAATGTGATCCTTGCGAAAGTATAAAGAAGGTCTTTTGGTACAATGGCATCCTGGGATCTCGGTAAAGACGGCAAAGATACTCGAAAGTCCTGAAATTATTTCGATATGAATAAAATAAATATAAGACTTTTGAACCGATTCTAATACTGGGATTTGATTTCACACACTGAAGTGTATATTAAACAATAACAAACTATAAATAATAACGACAGATATACAGATAACGAAAGCAGAAGTCTAGATTTGGTAACAGCATTATTTAACAAATTATATAGCTCAAGCAAAATACAGTCAGACTGGCTTAAATCAACATTCGTAACCCTGCCAAAGAAACCCAACGCCTCACAATGTGATGACTATCGGATGAGAAGTCTTATGTCCCATGTCCTCAAAACCTTTCTTAGAATCATCCACACACGAATCTACAAGAAGTGCGAAAATCAGATGGACAACACCCAGTTTAGCTTCAGAAACGGACTCGGAACGCGTGAAGCACTCTTCTCCCTAAATGTAATGACACAGAGGTGTAGAGACATGAATGTGAATGTATTCGCATGCTTCATAGACTATCGTAAGGCGTTCGACTGTGTTAATCATCAGAAGATGATCAAAATTCAAAGAACAACCAGAGTTGACGAACAAGACCTACATTTCATATCAGAACTTTATTGGCATCAAACGGCGGTTAGGTCTTGTCTCCGCTCCTGTTTAACCTGTGCTCATAGACTATATTTAGTGAAGCACTGGATCGAATCCAGGGCGGAATCAAGTTCAATGGAATCCCAATAAACAATATCAGATATGCCGATGAGACGGTTATAATAGCCAGCGATATACAAGAACTGCAAAGCATTATAGATTCCGTAGTCCACTATAGCGAGATGTTTGGACTGCATCTCAATGTCTCCAAGACCAAACTATTGGTCTTTTCTAAGACTCCAATAAATGCACACCTGCGTGTCAAGGGACAAAGAATCGAACAAGTGACCTCAATAAAGTATTTAGGAGCTAACATCAATAGTCAGTGCGACCCGAAAAGAGAAATATTTTCAAGAATTGAGCAAGCGAGAAAAATCTTTGTGAGAATGAAATCATTTTTTACAAGACGAGACCTCAATGCAGAACTCAGAACTCGAATGGCCAGATGCTACGTCTTCTCTGTGTTACTCTACGGATGTGAGAGCTGGACACTGGATTCACAGACCGAAAAGAGAATAGAAGCCTTCAAAATGTATGTGTACAGACGGATGCTGCGAATCTCATGGGTACAAAGGATCACCAACGATGAAGTATTCCAGCGCATGCAGAAACAAAAAGAGATATTGAACACCATCAAGGAAAGAAAAATGCAATACCTGAGGTGGATATATGAGGTGGTAGATACGAAATACTGCGCCTCATAATAGAGGGCAAAGTGCAAGGGAAAAGATCAGTAGGAAGACGCCAGAACTCATGGGGTCTCATTGCGTCTTCCGAGCTGCAGTTTCCAGGGCCACAATTAGTGATTCCCACGAGACCAACGAGACGAGACTTTCATAAAGTCTTGTCTCGTCTCGCCGATAATATAAGAAGTCTCGTATCAAGTCTCGTCTCGGAGCCTCCAGTGTCGTCTCGTCTCGCGTCTCGTACGAGAGTCTCGTGAAAGTATCGAAATTTCATCATGCATAATCCTTGTTCCAGTCCAGTACAGGATATGTATTTATAGTTTGTACAAAACAACCTTGGGATCACGTGACATTTGTAAAGAAACCGGAACATTTTTGTAATTTTTCTTGTTTATTTTTTATTAACTAATCGATATTTATTAGGCTACAACTAGCATTTAAACATTCAGGGTGTAAAAAAGATTGATCTCAAGTCACGTGTTCCCAAAGTTGTTTTGTTTGAGCTATAGTTGCTATAATATAAAAGTAGGATGAAAAAATTACAAATGTTGAAAAATAAATCATATATTTCATAGTAATACGTAAACACAAAACAAAAACCAAAATCATAACATTAATTTTGAAAAAAAATCATATATGTCATAGTAATACGTAAACACAAAAGAAAAGCCAAGAACTTAACATTAATTTTGAAAACAAGTAAAAACAATAATATAGGTACTAACAGCCTTCTCGGTCGCAAATGTTTTTGTTTTTCACCCAGTCATTTAGGCATAACAAACATCGTGCATATTCATTATTAAGGCGATTTCTGTGTATTCTAATGGTTAACGCAGCACAAGAGAATAACCTTTCCGCCGGGACTGAGGTAGCTGGTATACTCAAAAGATCTCGTGCCATCAAACTTAAAATGGGAAGTTCAGAACTATGAGTTCTCCACCATTGTAATATATCTGTGTCTTTATTACACCGGGAATTGAATAGTATTTTTGAAGCTCCTGCATCCATTCTCCTTCGGCAAGGGTAGGATTTACTGCGTACAAGACATCAAAATCAATTACAAACTCCGACTTTTCAGGTCCAGGATTTTCTCGTCCTTGTTCTCGTCCACCGCTGTTTCTGTCGAACGTAAATTGATCTAAACTGTCGAACGTAAATTGAACGTAAAAACTCTAATTGATGAAAACAGACTTGACAAATATCTTGAAATTTCTGAATCGAATTATCTTTTAATTCTTGGCCCCATTTTGTCATATCAAACGTTTCTAACTTATGACGTGGATCGAGAATTAAAACTGCAGCATAAATCCAGTTCGTTTTACGATAATGCTTTAGTATTTTGTCTCTCGCAGCCTGAAAACCAACAGTAAGCTGCTCTGCGACAGGGGTTCGTTTTGTTTTTCTGTCCCATTCAAATATTTTGCTCTCAAGATTATCTATTAGTATATATGTACCTATATTGATACATACAACCACCATAGGTAAGGTGACGTACTTCTCTCCTCCGAGTTTTTTTGAAAGTATTTGAAAGTTGATTAATAATTTATGCACTTCTTCTAGCAATATCCATTCTTCATCTCTAAGAGCATATGGTTTTAAATCAACAACATTTTGACATAATACACCGAATCCATGTCTGCCTTTAAGAGCTACTTGCAACATAGCATCACTGGAATTCCAGCGTGTAGGTACATCCAACACAGAACTTAAGTAAAAGTTGGTTTTTAAGTAAAGGTTTTTCAAGTGTTCACCTGCGAGACTCTCGTACGAGACACGAGAAGTCTCGCACGAGACGAGACCAATAAAAGTCTCGTCTCGTATTGTCCGAGTATCGTCTCGAGTCTCGTCTCTAAAACGAGACGAGACCATACGAGACTCTCGAAAACGAGACTCTCGTGGTAATCACTAGCCACAATTGCCATTTGGATCGCCAAGCTTTGGCAGGAGAGGGCGTGATAAGAAGAAGGAACTATAAATACCGAAATCGAAAATAAATGGGCGTTAAAGACGGCTGAGACTTCACTACTAAGCGGAATGACAGTCGATAATAATTTTGCAAGCCCCAGACGTCGTTACTGGCCCGTACTCTTCTTTATTTTTTAAGGGTGCTTACTGCCAGTTGGCATTAAAAAGGGTTGTGATTTATTAAGTAAAAATGACTTTTAAATGGTGTGGTTTGAAATTCGAGAAAAAAATAATTTTTTTTATAAATATATTTGTGTGTCCGGAAATGGGGGGGGGGCGTCTAGAGATGGACCTCGCCAAAATGTTTTCTTTGTCTTTGACATAGTTTTATTCGATCACGGTAGTATACAGGGTGAGTCTTAAATAAATGTAAATATTTTCCAGGCTGGTAGATCTCGATAAAACAGACATATTACTTTACTGTTTTTCAAATACTAAAGTCCAAAATAACCGAGATATTTTACTATGAAGATTTCTAAAAAATTATTTTTCGTTTACATTTTCAGAACCACAGGATCTTTTCTTGTTTTTCTTTCTTGGAAATTTAATCTACTACCTATGTTGCCGTATTATGAAGATATTATGATTTTTAACTAAAAATTTAAAAATATTATGATTTTTAACTAAAAATTTAAAAAATTTCCAAAAAAAAATTCAAAAAATTTAAAATTTTAAAATCTCTGATGTCGAAATAATATACTATCCCTAAAAATATTTAGACTTATTTAAAATTCACCCTGTATAAGAAACGATTCATTACAAAACATTTATTAAAATAGCTGAGGCTTTCTCAGTCACCCTGTACAGCTATTCAACTTACTGATATTTAGAAGCATGTTTTTTTCTAACATACGCCCATGTTTTTCGTAATCTAAAAATGGAAGGATTCTGCAAACCACACAGTACAGACCTGCAAGATTGAAAGTTGGACAAGCGATGGCATTTACTTGCAACGTTAATAAATCTGGACACGAGTCTTGCTCTAATCTGAAAATTATAGTTAAAATTATGGATTTTAATATTTTTCAATTATTGATTTAAAAGAAATGAGGAAGGAATAAAAAAAAAATTATACCGGCTGCGTCTCAAAAGCCCTCACTCTGGCCCTCACCCATATAACTTTTTTATTTTTTCAGATAAAACAAGGAGATTTGGTATTTTAGTATATGACATAAATTAGGATTGATTGACATATTCAATTGTTTTCGGCCACTTCCGGTTTCACCGGAAATGACTACAACTTTTGATTTTTAAATGGCACCTTCGGTATTTTTTTACTTTATTCGATAGACAATGACACTTTGAATAGAGTGACATATGTTATGTCAACTTTTGACCTTTCGCATATGGATTATTTGAAATGATAAAATGCTTTTCATAACGACAATTTGACTCGAAATACCAAGTGTGTAGTATCAAATTATTCGTAAAAAAATGCTTTTTCCAAATCTGCTAATGAGCCACCCTCGTTCCATTTGAAAAAATTGAGATATGATTAAAAATACGATTTTGGCATCTTTTAACTGACCAGGACAAGACATTAAGAACATTAGACGATCAAATCTATTTTTCCAAGGCTCCTTGATTAAAAATTAGTGTTTTAACATAGCCACACTCAATTTAACACACTCTAGATTGTAATTTAAAATACAATTTGTTTTTGAGCGAATATGTCAAAAGTTGACATATGATATGTCATTCGATTCAGAGTGTCATTTTCTATCGAATAAGGTAAAAACATACCGAGGGTGCCATTTAAAAATGAAAAGTTTAGTAGTTTCCGGTTAAACAGGAAGTGACCGAAAACAATTAAATACGTAATTCAATCCTAATTTATGTCATATATTAACATACCAAATCTCCTTTTTTTATCGGAAAAAATAAAAAAGTTATAGGGGTGAGTCACTTTTGAGACGCGCCCGGTATATTTATAGGTATATTAAAAACAAAGTCATCTATAGCTACCTACTTTATAAAATATTTTAGACACAGACAGTTCAGTTTGACATATTATTAGGTATGTTTGGCCTTTCCCCTCACAAATGATCGAAAAAAATGGCGTCCAGTTGGTATGGAAATGAACATCTATGACATTCCCCATATAATTTTACATATAAAATGACAGCGATCTTTTAATACCCATCGCTGTCGCCTTTTTTTCGGTCATACTGAATTAGCAATGACTAAAGAATAAAAGAACCAACAACATACAAGAATAAATTGTTACCATTTGTAATCTATTACTTACAGTTACGCTTATTAGACTCATTTAGTTATGAATAATCTTTATTTATTTACATTTTTGATAAATTTTTCGCCTACGTCTATGGTGGATGCAGCTTCTTTAACATAAAAACCGTATTGATATGTTCACAAAAAGTACAAAACTACTTAGTATGGGCTCTATGTTAGGACATATTCTAATATCAGAAAAATAATTATGAAATTCAATAAGAAAACGCTAAAAAGATTGAGTGGAGAAAATTAACTGTTTTAAACATATAATTCCTGGCTCTTACTTATTGTTGCGGATTTTACACTTGAAAGCTCAATAAATCACCATGGTAATAAAGTTTATACAAAGTTCTCTACACACAACAAACTATTAATAATTGCTAAAAAAGTCGCTGCTGACAAATCGGTTATCTCCAAAAATAGGGTCTAACATCACAAATTTTACTTCAACCCGTATATGCACATTACGCGTCCTTAGATTTTTTAGTCATTGAATATTACCGAGTTTTATGTTTCACTCTTTATTGTGTATTTTATAACTGGGTTAATGCTAAGTTAATTATAGTGAGATTTTTTGAAGTGAAACTTCTTTACGCGCGATGGGAGTGACACACCACGGCATTAATAAATAAATAAATCTTTATTGACTACGTATTTATACAATGTATAATTGTAGCAGGTCAGAGTAAATAACAAACAGATAAGAATTCATAAAAATAATAAAAGTTAGAAAAAAAAACAATAGACGGAGGCAAAGTGTGTTACATTAAATACATACAAGACAAACAATTTAAGAATTTTTTGTACAAATAAATCAAATTAAATCTAAGTTTCCATCTACCTGCTCTATAAACTTATCCACGCTATAAATTCCAGATTTCTCTAAAAATTTCTTAAGCTTATATTTAAATTTATTAAAACATAGAGTTTTTAATTCCATTGGAAGACGGTTGTATAAATCAATGCGTAGAGAGTTTCTAGCTGATTTATCCAGTCTATAGAAATTGGTTCGTATTAGATTGGCAGATCTTGTTCCATAATTATGACAGTCAGAGTTAACTGTCAGATGAAATTTAGTTTTATGAACTTCCAAAAGTTGATTTAATATATATAGAGCAGGCAGTGTAAGTATATTCAGTCTAATAAAGTGGGGCTTACATGTATCTCGATAGCCAAACACCACATAATATTCTAATTACACTTTTTTCCAACCGAAATATTTGAATAGAATTTGTCGAGTTCCCCCACAAAGCCACTCCATAGGACATATGGGAATGAAACAAGGCATAGTACGAATTCAACAAAGACTCCTGGCAGATTAACGCTTTAAGTTTACACATCAAGTATACCACCGACGAAAGTCTGCGTTTAAGATTTTCAATATGTGGTACCCAACTGATTGTACTATCCAGTGTAATACCCAATAGTTTAGCACTATTCATTTCTATATCCTTAGACCATCTGGAGGAAAAAAATATGTTTTGCGTTTTATCGCGATTCAGTTTCAGGCAATTATGCGTGAACCAAGTCTCCGGACGTTTCATCAACCTTTCGCTTTCAGTCACTAGCAGATCCATATTTTTATTTCTACAAGACATTGAACTGTCATCCGCAAACGCTCGACACTTATTTAGTAGAAGGTAATTAAAAAGGTCATTAATATAAATAATAAAGAGCAGTGGTCCCAGTACATATCCCTGTGGCACACCACTCTCCATCAAACCTACTTCAGAAACCGCATTGGCAAAGTCCACGCACTGTCTACGCCCGTCGAGATATGACTTAAGCAATTGCAGTCCAACACCTCTAACACCATATCTGTACAACTTGTCAATCAGGATCGCATGCGATACACAGTCGAACGCCTTAGTGAGATCGCATAGCATTAGATTTACCAGCTCTCCCTTTTCAAAGCCCTCGACTATGTCCGACACAACCCTACCAACAGCCTGAACCGCAGATCACCCCTCCCGGAAGCCGAACTGTGAAAAGTCGAGCAAATTGTTTCTCTCGAAAAAATCCATTAATCTAACTTTAATAATTTTTTCAAATATTTTGCCAAAAACGGTAACAATCGATATGGGGCGATAGTCCGACACTGAATCCTCGTCTCCTTTTTTAAAAACTGGAACCACTCTAGATAATTTAAAAGGATTGGGAAAATTGCCCTTTTCAACACAAATGTTAAAAAGATGAACCATAGGCTGGATAATTTCATTTGAAATGCTTTTCAAAATATTGCTACTTATATCATAAATATCATATGAAGCCGAATCTTTCAGCGCATTAACAGCCTTCCATATCTCTCGCCCGTCTATTGGCAAAAAACAAAAGTGCTGTTGTTCATTAATATATTTCCAATCAATTCATCCTGAATATTTTGATCAATGGACAACTCGCTTACAATTTTAGATGCTATTTCCAGAAAATCCTAGTTGAATTCCCCAGCTTTTATATCAGAGTTGTTTCTCGATCTTGCCTGATGATTTCTCTCGAGGTTGATAATTTTCCAGGCACTTTTTGCTTTCGATTTTGATGAATTTACATAATTACTGTAGGCATTCTTTTTTGCGATAATGATAGACTTTTTATAGTCTCCCCGCAGTAATCGGTAGTAGGCGCTATACTCTACACTATTTAATCCGTCAGCAATGCATTTTACAACTTGCATTTGCCTTCTTTTTTCTTTGAGCTCACTATTATACCAGCGAACAGGAGGATTATTATCCCTATTCCTAACCGTTTTCAAGTGTAAGTGTTTATTTATTAAAATTTGAACATTTATTACTAAAAATTTTGACAAAAACTCAATGTCATTCGAGTTAAAATAGTCTGCCCAGTCTAAATCTAACAATTCCCGCTTTATGCAACTCAAAGCCCTCGTTATACTTCTTACCTTAAAAATTTTAACACACACGACATGACCTTGACGCACGAGCTAAGACCAAAAACTTTTGATTTAACGCTAAGAAAAGCATTATAATAAACTTACTGTACCTGGGTACCAATATCCTCTGGGTGCGTGCTAGGAGTAAGTTTTCATGCGAATATTTTCATCGATAAGTTTGTAGCTTCTGAATAACGGTCTAGGTAAAGCATTTAGCTCATTTGCTAGTTCAGAAATAGAATTATTAGAGTTAAGCAACTCGCATTTTCATTTGGAGAACATCTTCATATTTATTTCAAACCAATAATCAACGAAATAATCAATATTCATATAATTTAACAAAATTACTGTAAACCATTGTAAATACGAATTGTTGGTTAGGTTCAAAAAATTTTCTCTTTTTAAATACATTTAAGCGCTAACATTATTATACATTTGCATAAAATTGTGTATTTTGGGTGGTATTCCACAAAATTTGCAGACTATTGATAAAACAGAAAATTATATGCAGCATTGTATGTCACTTTTTCAAACATGTGCTTTAAATGCTCCAATTTAATAGCTGTTAGTAAGAAGTTTCACTTCAAATATGCGAACATAGTGCACACACAATTTTTTTGATATAGTTTTTCTAGACTTTTTATTCGTTTGACAGCAATCAATATATGACATAATCAATATTATTCGCATATAAAGTTATCAATATAACATGTTCTGCAAATAAAAATAAGTAAAACAGTTCGTATGTCCTAAAATAGTTTCGGCACAAGTTTCGTTTAGACGAAATCAATTACATAGAATATCGATTTATAGGATGATTCATAACCAACATGAGATACAGGCCAGCGACATCGATTTGTGACGTCACCGCAATAGTCGGGCTTTTGTATTGTGCTTATGGTACTGCATATAGTTTTTGCATAAATAATAGTATTAATTGATAGTTTTGCCAGATATAAATATGAGAAATATTATACACAAAGGTATAAAAAAATACATTAACTTTTTATGGCGTTAAAGTAATTAAATAGCATTAAAATTTAGATCTAAAACACGAATATTAATATGAAATAAACAACAGCATAAGATGAACAGAATAAAATCCAGATAATAAAAAGCATGTCCTAAAATTGCGTTAGCGAGTATTTAGCAACTGGTAATAATATACCTTGTGATAAAGTTTCCAAATATTAAAAAAATTGAAAACTATACTTTATCAACAAGTTAAGAAAATGTATTGTATATGATAAGGGCAGAATACATTTTAAAGTTTAATTAAAAATAATTGTAAAAATTTGCCTAACATATTTAAAAAATGTGGATATCAGGTAGAATTAACTATTATCATTAAGTAATTTGTAGTTCGATGTTCATCAAGTAACTATCTCCATAAATCGTAAATAAAAAGATAAAGATATTATTTTTTTATATAAAATACTGAAATAAAGTATCTACAAATCATTTAATTTCTTTAAAATATATTGCCATTTCATAATAATATATATTTCATAATAATAATAATAATTTTCAATATTCATTTTATCCTGAATTTCCAAATCTTGTTTTATTTCATCGGAATGTTTGGGAACATGCACAGTCATATAAGAGGGTTGATTTGGAAAAATTGTAGGTACAGCATCTTCTGTAGGTTTTGGACGTGACCTAGTTACAGTTAATATTGTTGGGAAAGAGAATATAGACAGATCCTGAGTACTTATTATAATTGCTGCTCAAAGGCACAGGCACAGAACAATGTCGCGGCATTTTTTATTTCACAAAGAAAAAATAAAGAAACGAAAACTGTTTTACCTAAAAATACACTATACGATGTCAACTAATTTTTATTCGAGAATATATTTTTATCACAATCATTTTCATTGATTTTTCCGCGTTTAGAAGTGCCGAAATGTGATAGGAAGATAAAAACTACATATTTTTATTTGATTAATAATTTGCGATAACTTTTCTATATAACTTTTTCCGCGGAAATTTATCATAAGGGCGGTGTAATGGAAAACCTTCAATATTTCGAAGTTTTCCATAGTATTCTCAACTTTTTACATACTTTTGGTTTGCTTTGGTTATTTCTTTAGGGTTTGGTTTGGTTTAGTTGTCGTTTTTATGCTTTATTGACAATTTTTTTTTAGTTTTCGCATTCATTGACCATAGCGATATTAAGTTGATAAAAATAGATATTATTCATTGATCTGTGTCAAAGGTCGGGAAGAAGATCACTGCATAGTGGTGAAACAACGCATTTCCGCGGATTTTCATTTTTGTATCGGTGCCGGTGCTTAAAAATAAGTATACAATATAAAATAATATTAATTTTTTATATATCTCATTTCGTTACTTCTAAACCGTATTCAAAAAATGGCAACAACGCATTTCCGCAGAATTCATCTCGTATCAGTATCGTATCATTCTCGTATTAGTAGTTACAAAGACGTCTAAAATATGAAATAACATTAATTTTTCATGTATGTCATTTCGTTACTTTTAAACCGCATTCAAAAAATGGTGACGCATTTCCGCGGCAAAATTTTTTCAGTAAAATACTCCCTGAGGTACCTAGATGACAAAAAAATGTTTTTTTCTTTTTTAACAGATTTCGGCTAAATGAAACTTGACCCATAGTTTCCTTTGGCGGATACAGGGTGTATAATTTAGAACTTTCATTTTTATTTCTTTTCTAAATAATTTCTAAATTAACGTTGATGTTTGCATGAAAATTGGAATCTGTGTTTTCTGAGATGAGAAATTCGATTTTGATGTCAGTATGATTCCTATACTTGTATAAATCGAAGGCGTCAACTTCATATTTTCTAACTGTTTTAAAGAGAATACCTTTTTGTCTGCACTTGTATTACCACCCCTGACTCACCCCTATAACTTATTCATTTCTTCAGATAAAAAAACGAGATTTGGTATGTTAGTATATTATTGTTAGGACTGGTTGACGTATTCAGTTCTTTTTGACCAATTCCTGTTTCACCGGAAATGACTACACTTTTTGTTTTTTAAATAGCAACCTCGGTATTTTTTTTGCTTTATTCGATAGAAAATAACACTCTGAATAGAATGACATCTCATATGTCAAATTTTAACATTTTCGCTTAAAACATAATTGTATTTTATGGTTCCATCTAGAGTGCCATGGCTGTGTTCAAAACCATAATTTTTAATCAAGGAGCCTTAGAAAAATCGATTTGATTGTCTAAAGTCTTTCGCGTCTTGTCCTGGCTGGTTAAAAGGTGCCCAAACCCGAAATCGTATGTTTAATCATATCTCAGTTTGTTCAAATGGAACGAGGTTGGCTCATTAGCACATTTGGAAAAAACATTTTTTGACCAACAATTTGGTACTACACGCACTTGGTACTTCGAGTCAAATTGTCGTTATGAATAGCATGTTGCAATTTCAAATAAACCATATTCGAAAATGTCAAAAGTCGACATATGATATATCATTCTTTTCAAAGTGTCATTTTCTATCGAATACAGTAACAAAATACCGAGGGTGCCATTAAAAAATCAAAAGTTTTAGTCATTTCCTGTTAAACAGGAAGTGACCGAAAATAATATTGAATACGTCAATCAATACTAATTTATGTCATATAATAACATAGCAAATCTCGAATAAAAAAATAAAATAGTACGGATACAAATTTACTACTTTTCATAAAATATGAAACTTCTAAAATGAAACGTCTACTATATCTCCGAAACGAAGCATTTTAGGACATGAATTTATACCAAGTTTTTTAGTTATTTTTATGCAGAATGTTGTTGTCAAAGTTACTCTAAGATTACAATTCGAACCATCCTGTGTACTATGTGTATTTATGTGTAATATTAACCTTTTCAGTATCGTCCCTGAGAATCTCACTTGCTATAAGGCAACTGATCCTATGCGAAAAGGCTATTATCGCAGCTATATTGGGGGCATTTCTAGAACTTCCCTGCATAAAGAGCACGTACAGTTCCGATGATGGAATTTTCAAAAACAGATCTCTGTCGATTAATGTCAGTTGTTGGGCAATTGAAGTTGAATCGAAATCCCAGGATGACGATGCGATATCTATCTCTAGCAATTGCTTGATATGTTGCAATGAGAACTTGTTCGTAGTTCTAAAAGTATCTATTAAAAATATTGCATGGTATTATTTTAAACGCACATTTACTATAATGTTCCTACATAGATGGTACCCTATTTTACACTACCATTCTTCTCAGAAAAACTTAGAAAAATACGTGAATAGGAGCAAAAACAGACCAAAAATTACTTCATAAAAAATGAAGTTATTATTTTAGTTGTCCAGGGTAAGTCTTAAATTAGTGCAAATATTTTTAGGAGTAGTATATCTCGACCCCAGAAAAACACGATTATGAATTTTTTTTTCTCAAAAATTTTTTAAAATTTTTTGAAAAAAAAACAAACTAAAAAAAATTCTTTATCTAAAAACTAAAAAAAATTTCCAAATTTTTTTTTTAGTTTTTAGTTAAAAGAAACCTAATTTCTTGATTAAATTCACAATAAAGAAAATCCAGAACAGCTTCAGTGGTTCCCAAAATTTAAGTAAAATAGTATATTGTTTTATTAGGAGTAAAAACTGATACTTTACGCGGCGAAACTGTACGTTTAACTTATTACAGGCGAGTCACAAAAAGGTATTTTTACTCCGAATAGAACATGCTATTTTTTCCAAACGTCACAAATGATTTTCCGATTACAATTTCAAGCGTGGCAAATAATATAAAAAGATTGGTAAATATTATCACAGATTATACAGATTATAAACTTTGTTTTTTCTTTATTGTTTTTCGTGGTTCCAATTTTCAGAATCGGGTACTAGTTAGGTTACTAGTTTGCGCACATAGCACGCCCACTTATGACTTCTAAAATTGTGCACAGCGCCTCACCGGCACAGTTATTAGAGAGATATCGGAAAACCGAATAGCGTCATGCAGTATTTACGCGTACCTTATCATGGTTACGATATGCGCGAGTCAATTTTTAACGCAACACCCGCTAATAACGTTACCGCCTGACGTAATTTGCGGATCAATTCCACCAAGCGCTATTTCTAAATAACGTTTAAAAATTACTTAAATCGGCATGTGCGGGTATTTGACAACTGGAGCCGGCCGGCGAGATCTTTTATTTTATGTTATGTTTAAATTGTTTTGAATTATTACTTTAGTTTTATTAGGTAATTTGATATTTAAGTAGCTGAGATTAGTTTTAATTAAATAAGTATGGCCCAAAATATGGATTCCACCTCTTCCAATATGAACCTATAAAGAGGCTTAGGTTTACAGCAGATGACGACTTAGCCCTTCTAAGAGAATTTGTTGCTTGTTGCACTAAATCCACTGGTAGACGTTGAACAATAAAGCACTGGAAATAAGCACTTTGGCCGTTTAGTTTTAAAATACCTAGTAAACAAAACAATTTCAAAGTTTTAAATTCAAGTTAGGTTAAGTTTAAATAGCGGACGCGACGCGAACAGAATTCTTTCCAATCCAATATATATGAACCAAATGAAGAGAGTTAATACCACCTCACGCAAAGGAAATAACACCTGGCCTTATTAACGTCCATGCACGCTATTCGGTTTAGCGATATCTCTCTATTACGCTGTTTATTGTTATTTTACGCGATTTTATTTTTGCGCACAGGAAATTTTACTCGTTTGCACATTGTCATAAAAAACAATTTTCGTACCACGAATTAGGGATAAGATTTTTATCTGTATACATATAGTTTACCTAATCTGTGATATTATAATTGATAATAATATAAAAAGTGTGTGCTTTACTTTTATGCCTAGACCAACTAGGCGTTAAAATTACGTTTTTATATTGTCAATCACGTGGCAAAAATTAATACTTGTGTGTTGAAAAAAATATATATTTGTTTTGAAAATTTTCACGGTAATATAACTCGGTTATTTTCGACTTATTTGGAAAACGATAAAGAGAAAACATGTTTCTTTTATCGAGATCTACCATCCCTGAGAATATTTACTCTTATTTAAGACTCACCTTGTATAGGTTGGGAAATCCTGTACAAATTTTGAACTGTCCAAATATTGGCTCCCCTGTAGATTTTAGAGCAAAATATTATACAGGGTGGGCCGAATTCTATTAGGGAAACTTTAGCAGCATATTCTGCAGATAAAAATAAGCGAAAAAGTTTATTTAAATGTATGTCCTAAAATACTCCATTTTGGAGATACAGGGTGTTAAAGTTTCATTTTTATTTTGATTTTTCTAAATAATTTCTGAACTATCGCGCGTCGATATTTGGATGAAAATTGGTGTCTGGGAGTTTTCTGACATGAGAAATTTGATTTTGATGTTAATATGACTCCTACTTGTAGAGGGCGCCACCTACATATTTTTAACCGATTTGAAGAGTAATAACTTTTTGTCCATACCTGTATAAAACTAATGAGTAAAAAAATATACATTTCCGTCAATTTTTAAGTAAAAAATGTCTCTAGGTAACAATTGCTATGAATAATGGTTCCCGAAATATTTGAAATCAAAATTATAAATACTTGTCATTATTGACATAAATTAAACATGTAATATAATGTTATAATTAATAGGTATGACTGGAAATAATAAATTTGAAATGTTTTTGTGCCAAAATTTCAACGAAGAAAAATTTGTGATTAATTTAAAAAAATAAAAAGTTCCCAAGTTTCTCATGTCAAAAAACACCAACTTTCGTCCAAATATTGACGTTACTTCAAAAATTATTTGGAAAAAATCGAAATAAAAATGGAACTTCTACACCTTGTATCAACGAAACTAAGTATTTTAGGACATACATTTATACGATCTTTTTTATTTATTTTTATCTGCAGAATATGCTGCCGAAGTTTCCGGAATACAGTTTGCACCACCTTGTATACAAAATGTGTCAAATGTCAAATTAAAGAGTACATAGTGAGCATATAGTGAGTTTTACATAGTACATAGTACATTTTTAGATAGTACATAGAGCATCTCATCTCGCCGCGATGCTCACCACGATGCTCACCACGATGCTCGCTTGATGCTAGCAGTGAAGCTCGCCACGATGCTTACATTACTGCGCATTAATACCGCGTACTGACTCGCTATCTTTAAAACTGTTTGTGGCGGCATGCGATGGAAGCATAGCGGCGAACATCGAGGCTAGCATCGTGGCGAGATGAAATGCTCCACTATGTTTGCACCTTAAGATTGAATTTAACTGGGGTATTAAAAAGTTAACTAACTAGGGTATCTGGATGAAGTAAGAACTTAATATTTAGTGATTGAAATTAAAATTCCGTCATTATTAGTAGTGATGGGATAACTCGAGCGAAAATTGAAATAACCGACATCGCTCGATTATAAACGAGGGATGCAAGTGACGAGTTACGAGCGACGAACGCAAGCGATCCTAGAATGGAATAAATTGAAATCCGATTTTAATGTGACATACTCGATACAAATCCGAGCGAATTTTCTACATACTTACATCGTGGTTAGCAACTTTATACGACGTTATCCGTTGCGTTACAAAATGTTACAACCTGCATCAACAATACTTCAAAATAAACTAAATCAAGCGATTACTCGTTGCTCGTCTCTTGCTACTTGCCATTCATCACCGAAAGAATAATATGTGCTCTGCGCACGCAAGGGAGAGGCCCTCAGATGACTGGAAAAAAACTGTGTTTAAAATTGGTTTTAACCTCAAATCAATAATATTCTTATAGTGACCTACGAGCACCTATTTCCTAGGTGCGACACTGGTTGGTACATTAAAATATTCTAAAATTTTAAGTGGGATTAGCAAAATAATTTATCACTGCTGGATATTGGAATTGAATTTCGATCACTACATATTTAACATATTAAAGTTACTAAAATCGAGAAGCAGTCCAAGGCAGTGAGTAATGATACCAAAGTGAATATTATTATTGGCTTTGATAAAAATTCCCACACTTTTAGTCGACAAGTCTCATCGCCGTGATTTCAACTAAGGTAGTAATGCTGGCTTGACTACTAACCAAAAGGAAAACTTTCTTCGATCACTGATCCAAAAACTGTCGAAATAATGTTATATTTTCTTTTCTTTCGGTAAGAAAAAATAGTTTCCTCTTCATCAGTTTCCTTTTCCTTGTCATATTTTTTTAAAACTCTTCGATTACTGCATCGTTTTCCTAAACAAGACACTAAAAGAGTTTGATAACATTGAAAAGTATTTTAATCTGTTTCTCTCAGTCATATAATGCGCACTTCTACATTTTAGTTTAGTTTCTTGAGATCGTCTAATCTTTTTCCAGTGTTTTTGAAGCTCATTGTAGACGTTCTTGACAGAGATTGGTCTATACCAATAACCAGACGTCCAAAAAAGTATTACAGGTTTCTTACATGCAGTTCTAGAAAATAAGTTTGAATATTTAGTTAATAGAATATCTGAATATTTATTACAAATAATTGTTTCTATAACTTCTAAAATCTCCTAGGTCTGAACAGGACGTTGTTGAAAGAAGTGTTTGTTTGGATATTGATAAAGATATTTTCTGATCAGACGTATTGAGGCATACTTCAGATACCGCCCTCTTAATTTGAATGGAGAAGCGTTCGCCTTTTGAAATATTCCAAGGGCCCAATCCATACAAAAACATAGGTTCTGGGACAAAACCATACCTTCTGCGATGCCTCTTTCTGAAATTAGTTTAGTCCAATCTACCGTGATCATTGAAATGACCATCTATGATAATTTCTGGCGACCCTTATTAAAAACAAATACAAAAATAATTAAGACAAATGAATAAGGGCCGACCCGACAGAAATTATAACCGATTGCCATTTCAAAGATCACTGGCGTTATTTTTTTATATCGTATTTTATTAGTGCCAATAATATGACGTGTTAAATGAATCAAATATATAATTTTGCTTGTCGTCTGTAGAAGATAGAATCATATATTTTATTCTCGATCAGAATACAGGGTTGTTCACCACATACGACACGGGTATTGTAGCTAAACGATTAGATTTTTACAAATTGTAAGTTTTGGGTTCGTTGAAGGAGTATTAGAGCTACAATTTAAAAATATTTTTACAATACAGAGTGTCCCAAATAAATAAAAAATATGAAAGTTGTATTTTTTTAAATGGAACACCCTGTATATTATTACATTTTTAGTTCCTACGATTAAAATAAAGGTAAATTTCATTAAGGTTTATTACACTTAAACGTTACCTTTTTTGAAATATTTTCAATTTTGTAAAATTGCAGTAAAAATTTTAAGGCTTCATTTCACCGAGGGTATCAAAGTTTTTGATACTAAATATTTACTGAAATTTATTTATTGATCAGTTATTGTGTTGCAATAATAAAAATTATACTACCTTATACAGAGAGTCTAAAAATTTATTTTAAATAATTACTACCTTTAACCGGCAATAACTTGTTTAATTTAAATGGAACATCCTGTATATTTTATGAGAATCATATGCACAATTTAATTGTCTATGAAATTGTATTATGCCATTTTTTAACTATCTCTTAAAGTTTCCGGAGAAAATGCATTTTCTTGTAATTTAGAACTCATTTATCAATATACCCATGGAATACTGACATTTTAGATTATTTTTAAAGATGTACCAAATTTTTAAAGAGTACAAATACTAATATTGTCGATATAGTTCGTTAATTTCATTAAAAAATAAAAAAAACTGTCTAAATATTTGTTAAAGAGGATCAATTAATATGATTCGAGTATTCAAACTACGTTAATTGACTGTTTGCGTTGATTAATAATAATTGCCCCAAATACTAAAAAACTGAATTTTGTATGTGTATTAGACAGTGTGGTAAAAACTAACACCTTAAAAATGTCAAATATTTCATTTTTTGACAAAAATGCTTATTTATACAACAGAGACGTTCATTTTCATAACTTATTATGTTGATTTCTGATTCAAATCCACATATATTTAAAATAATTTATTAACGAACACAGATAAGTATGTAATTAATTAGTATTTGGGCGGAAATAATGGTGGTATATTTAATTAATGGTAAACTCTTTTATAAAGATTTAAATAGTTTTCTTTTTGCATACAAATGAGCTAGTATTAATAATAATAATAGATTAATATTATCGTTTTTAGCAAATCGATAATATTACTAGCCTGTACGTTTTTTACATTTGTTGCTTTAAAAACATTACAACATTATTCCATGGGTATATTGATAAATGAGTTCTAAATTACAAGAAAATGCATTTTCTACGAAAACTTGAAGGGATAGGTGATAAGTTGTATAATACAATTTGATAAACAATTAAATTGTGCATCTGATTCTTAGAAAATGTACAGGGCGTTCCATTTAAATTAAACAAGTTATAGCCTTTTAAAGCTAGAAATTATTTAAAATAAATTTTTAGACACTCTGTATGAGGTAGTATTATTTTTATTATTGCAACACAATAACTGATCAATAAATAAACTTCAGTAAATATTTAGTGTTAAAAACTCTTACACCCTTAGAGAAATGAAGCCTTAAAATTTTTACTGCAATTTCACAAAATTGAAAATATTTCAAAAACGGTAAGGTTTAAGTGTAATAAACCTTAATCAAATTTACCTTTATTTTAATCGTAGAAACTAAAAATGTAATAACATGCAGGGTGCTCCATTTTAAAAAATACAACTTTGATATTTTTTATTTATTTGGGACACTCTGTATCTTGAAAAAATATTTTTAAATTGTAGCTCTAATAATCCTTCAACGAACCCAAAACTTACAATTTGTAAAAATCTAATCGTTTAGCTACAATACTTCATGTCGTATGTGATGAACAACCCTGTATACACCTTTTAAATGTGTAGATATTTTATCCCCAGAGTAATTTTGTAACAATGCGCTCAGATACTTAGTTTAGATCTATTTTATAAAATAGTAAACTAAAAAGCAATTTGATGTTGCTGATGGTTTACACGTATATGTATATCAATCTGAATGAATACTATAGTCTGTGAAACGAATAACTTTGAATTTGACAGTTCCCGGGGGCATTTCTAGTGTTAATTTTATTAGGTTAGCAACTTGCGACCATGCTGACGCAATGCCATCTCTAATAAAACAGCCTCGGAGCAAGATTTATGACGTCACGCTAGTTAGATACTACGGATTAATAAATATGTATTAATTAATAAATATACCGTCCTGGTCATCCAATTACTGTGTATAGGATTTTAATGGATACGACAGAGAATAATAAAATTGACCGGTTGACAGAGAGAGAGAGACGGAAAATAAAAGGGGGGATACAGTGTTGCCGGTTCGTAAACGTGTAGGCAGGATTAAGAATGAGCATGGTGGGAGCACAAATCGACTCCGATGCCGATGACAATTCGAGACTGCTCTCAGTGTTGCTAGATAAACTTCCTCTAACAACCTCTGCATAACTAATAGCATATTGTCAAATAATATCATTAGTTTATATATATAAACTAATGATATTATATATATTATATTTATATATATATATATAAACTAATTATATATATTAAAATTACATATTTTAAAAAATAAACTACTCAAAACAATTATCACATATTTTCAAAAAAATATTAATTTCAAAAACAAGACATTTTGAATTCCCTGACTTACGATTTTAAATAGTACGGATACTGTGGAGGGAAATTCGATAAAACAAGCCTACGCGCAGACCTGTAATTTTTAGTCGGCCGACTATTTAGTTGCAAAGGTGAAAACAATACATACTTATGAACTCGATCGGCCGACTATTTGATTGCACGTGGGCGCGCCTCCATAAGAATATATTGGTTACAAATATGCAACTAAATAGTCGGTCGATTAAAATTGCCTGTCAGCGCATAGCCTAAGACTACGCAATGTAATCAAATATTGGGCCGATCGGCTCATAAGAATATATTGTTTTCACTTTTGCAACCAAGTCCAAAGTTGGCCGACTAAAAATTACATGTCAGTGCATACCCTAATTATCCTACAAAAAACTCACAAGGGAAAGGCAGAAAAAGGCATGCTTCAGTTAGAAATATGTAATAATTACTTTTATTCAAATATGCGATAATTGTTTTTAGTAGTGTATAATTATTAAAAGATATTTTCTGATGATACTATTAGAAATGCCAAGTTTGGGAACAAAATTAAATGCACACACTAAATTTTGTCTAAAAAATATGTTTTCTCAAAATTTACTTCTATGATTTAAATTTTAATTCTTACTAGATTTAGGGAAATTTCCTAGACCTGGCAACTATGACTAATACTTTGACCGTCTCCATGTTAAGAGATTCCTTACTTCTTTCCCACCACTTGATATGTCATAGCTGATTGGTCTCATCCCCACACAAAATTTGGAAGCCATTTGGAATTTCTGTCGCCACGTGTGACCTATCAAACTCATGAGTCATAGGTGTACTAATATTTTATTTCCATTTAGATTTAGTATTACAGCCAATTATAGTTTAAAAGTTTTACTTATGAATTCTGTAAAATTTAATTTACTAGAATTTTTATAAGAATCGTTTTATGATAGCTGACAAAGTTTAAGATGGAAACAGTTTAACAATTTATTTCTCACATATTCTATCTTTACTGTCAGCTGGCCGATTTTTTAAGTACGCAACGATTACAAATATTTACGCAACGTCTTCACCATGCGGTTCGTGGATGCGATTCGTTAGTTCGTCTCGAAATTCGTCTATTTTGTTCGGTATATTTCTTTTAATGGTTCGCCCAAAAATCGATATTCTGTCAAATCGCCGCACAACCCATCGCACGGACGCGTTTGCGCAACAAATCGGCCTATCGACGAACCGTGTCAGTGCATGGTAAGTATTTGTCTTTATTATAATGCTGTCTAGCTTACTGTAACACTTAAATAAAAACTATACATTTGTATATTTATGGTTGTTGTGCTACCTTTTGAGGGATGTGCAATAAATGAATTATTCATAATAATATTGAATTTTTGCAGGGTGGTGTAACTAGTGTTACAACGGTTGTGAGTATGGTATTACATTATCATAATGTTATAGTATGAAATATACCTACTACCTGCTTTGTTTAATATTGGTACAGAAAACATATCAGTATAAAGTTTTACTTATCTTTAGCCTTTTTAATGCTGTTTGTAATCCTCTATGTCTATAATAATGGACAACGAGTAATTAGTAATTCTGAATATATCTATAAAAACTTTTAGTTTTAAGTACGCCTATGACTGAAATGCAGCGCCCACCTTCTCCTTCTAGTCAGCGGCCATAATGTCAGGTCCATCAGAGTCAAGGATGAGTAGAGATAAATAAATTTAAATTTATTAATTTTAGGGCCTGCTCTATTCTAACATGTAAGAAATATTTATTGATGGATAAGTACGGCATAGATGTAATAAAAAGCCGTTTTGTATGAATACCGAAATGGTATTTGAAGAACATATTATAATCAAATTATCAATAAATTGAATTGAATTGACAATAAATTTATGTGCCTGTGTTTTATAAGCCGTCTGCAGAAAATTGACAAAAGTAATAAAAAGATGACTCATGGCAATGTTTATCCCAAATTATAAATCGATAAGAGTTCTCATTAATAATAGTAATGTGGATATATTTTCCAGAACTTACTTTAACTTTATTTAAAAATTACTTTTTTAATTTTGTACT